ATGGGTATTAAATAGCTTTACAGACAAGGTGGCATTTTGTGGCCGCCAATCTAAAACTAATGATCTTAAAATGGTGCTCTAAATCCTCAATTCATGGAAATGGTTCATTTACACGCCGTGGTGAAATGCTATAAAAAGTTGCTGAGAATTTGAGTTCTAATAAATGAGAGCCAGTCAAGGCCAGTTTAATCTCAAAGCTAAGCCTGAATGCCAACTAAAATTGCTCTGGAACATTTCAAGAGTGGATTGATTCTTTCTACTCACAGGTTACTCAAGGCAGCGTCACAACAGAAACAGAGTGATAGCACATAAATATAGATGCATAAGATGTTTATGGATAATAACTGAGAACATCAATCTTTTTTCTCACAGCCTAAACACAGTTACCTCCCTAGCCTGTGAACTGGGAACCATTGGCAAAGAAGGATCTTATTTCCTTCCCAAGCTTAAAGCATAAAACTATGGTATTCTTTTAGGAAAAGTAAGAAAGTGGCAACCTCTCCCCCATGGCATTGTGCCACCTTTAGCTGATTTGCATATGCTTGTTGCTTTGTAAACTACAAGTAACATATTTTGCTGGAAATGTTGAATAGTTCTTTGAAGTATGATAATACACACAGCAGTGCAGTGAAAACAATAAGTACCAAAATAATCCAAGCAGAATACAAAACAGTGTCAGTTATTTCAAGCTACCATAGGAGAATTGCTGTAGACAAATCAAGTTCTGCACAACTTGTGGTTCCATCTGTTTTTTATCATAAGATAGATTTGTTGGGAAAAGTCATGAGGGCTAAGTGCATTTTATATAGTTTCATTCCCTTTAGCCAGGGAGCATTGTCAGTGGTAAAGTATGTTGGAATTGTAATTCAGAAGCATATAGACAACTGTTGACTTCTCTAGCCTGCCATAGTATCCACCCAGTAAGGTGGATGCAATCATAATTCTGTTGGAAGGATTAATGATAAATAGGTTGCATATAGTAGGCTCCTTAAATTCAAAACTTACTACTTAGTTTAAGTGGATCAAATGGGAAAAATACTCTCTCCCAAACTCTGGAAAATCATAGCCACTCCAAATAGACAAAACTAGATGATCTGTCTCCAAATAAAGCCATTTCATCTAGACTGGCTAAGATTTTGGTTTATATGTTAACCAGGGCCATGATTATTGTTGTTTGCCAATTAGTAGGGGAAAATGATTTTTTTAAAATTGTTTTAATTGTTGTCTTTGGTTTTGGCTCTGCAAGAATATTAACATTATGGCAAAGCTGGATCAGATGGGGCTGTTGTAAACTCTTGAGATTCATGTTCTTTGCCAAAGTGGAATTAAATTACTATGTAATGACTATTACACCTGGTCTTTGTACATTTTGAGAGCTGGTAGCCACTGAGGTTTTGGAAATGGATGTAACTAATATTCCCTCTGCGATTACTCCATTATATGCGCTCTCTTTTTCCCCTTTATTTTAGATATTCCATATGTAGCCTATAAAAATCCAGAAAACCTCTAGAATGATAGCAAAGCGATAGAGAAGACTCATTGTTGCTTTCTAGTGGTCATCCAGATTTTTGCCACCTAGATAAGTGTCTTCTGTATTCCTCTAACCATTTCTATGGTATTGAAACATTCGTTTACAAGGTTTACTCATAACATTAAGCCAGAATGTAATTAGTTTCTGATGTGAGGGGAATTCACTTTTGATAGTTTAGTGTTACAAGTTAGCCAAATCATTATGGTTTGTTCAAAGAAATGTGATTTAAAAGATCCCGATGACTGTTATATATGAACACCACATAATTCTTGGCATGAAGTAGGATAAGTGAGGATCTTACCACAAGTATTAATTTAGGTGTTGTTTGTTGGTGAATGCTAGTTGCTTATTCTGATTTCCTATTTTTTAGTATGCAGGGTTTTTTTTAATTGATTTAAAAATTTATGTTACTTATCCTAAACACATTTCTAGCAGCTAACACCCTATCCACAGAAACCCCAATGTAGTAAAAATCACATAAAATTCTAGGCACAGCAAAAATACTCATAAGGATTAAATGACTATATTTTGCCATTGCATAATATAATTGTGTAATATGTATACAATTTTAATTTTGAAAGGTGTCCCATTTCAAGAGCATACCGTAAAGGAATAAGTATTCTGAAAAATGCTGTATTGGTTCTAATGCAAACAAGAGAAATTCTAGGGTATCAGAAAGCAATCTTTCTGTTTTGAGTTTCTAATGTTTTCCAAGAAATCTTGAAATCTGCCCATTAATATTATGCAGATCTTTTACACTTGCTGCTCAAAAAGAAATGGAAAAACTGCTGGATCCTTCTGAATGAAACCAAACAAAAGCTTAAGGAACAATTGATTGGTTGCAATGGAAAAATTTGTCAATAAATTACACGTATTAAGTGACACTCTTTCTGTTTGGGTATCACTACAATGTAACTCAGCCAGCCTGGTATTATTGGAAATATAGTAGGTGAAGCCTAGCAAAAAAGTATATTTGAGATGTGGAATGAGAACATTTGGCAATAATGGAGGGAGGGGGTAGGGGGGGAAACATAAATTTGCGAAAATGGAACCACTGGATCAATGCTGAACGTTTTTCCTTGTAGCGCTGTTGGACTCACTCACCAAGAACAAGCAGTCAGTTGATGGCCATTCCCAGCCCAAGGAATCATCCAACCTCGGAAGTCAAAAAAGGACCGAGGATTTTGCTTCGGCCAATGGAGAAGCAGGGGGTGATACCAGCAAAGGTTACACTCAGGATCAAGTGGACGCTGTGAAGAGGTAAGCCTTAGTTAAGATTCTGACCAACAGACCACAGTTAAAATCACAGAACAACTTGTTGGTCATAGTTGGAAGAGCAACTATGGGGTGTAGCCAGAGGTGGGATTCAAATATGTGAACAACCGGTTCTCTGTGTGGATGCCGCTTCCGGAAGTCCATTTTGGGCCTGGGCAACAAAAAATTAGCTACCGGTTCTACCGAACTGGTGCGAACTGGCTGAATCCCACCACTGGATGTAGCGGCGATCTCATAGAACAGAATACTTTATTCGGCCAAGTGTGATTAGACACACAAGGAATTTGTCTGCAGTGTAAAAGCTGTCAGTATACATACAAAGCAACAGAGCTATAATAATGATACCAATAAGAGAAGGTAGTAGAAAAGATGAGAGGGATAAAATGCAGCCATACTAAATGGGTACATAAGGCAGTACTGCAGGTTGATCAATACCAACCTCAGTCTTTGGGGAAGGGAGAGGGCATTCAGAAGACATCTGACAGGATGTGTTTTCTAAGTAGGGGCTGTCAGTATGGATAAAGGCCAACTGGTTAAGTGTTTGTTCCTTGAAAATGATTTGTTTGGCTTCTTATAATTTGCTTTTTAAATTACAATGAATGTGGCCTGAAGTGGAAAGATACATAGCTGTTAAATAGGACAATGATTTCAGTGGTCTTTTCATCTGGATTTTGGAATTTTTTTTATGTCTAAAGCAGTGGTGGTGAACCTATGGCACGGGTGCCAGAAGCGGGACTCGGAGCCCTCTCTGTGGGCACACGTGCCGTTGCCCCAGCGTTGCCTCCTCCCGTGACCCCTTCCTCACCAGCAGCCCCCCTGGAGGAGAGTCACCCCCGAGCGTGGCCCGCGCGGAACAGCGCAGCCAAGGACATAGCGGCCAGGCAGCGTAGACAAGACTCTGCCCTGACACCCCGTCGCACACAGTTGATGCTGCGGGGCGCGGGCAGAGGGCATGGCCGCAATGGTGCTGCTGGGCTGCCTGGGTGATCTGCGGCAGGCCCTGGGGGTGGTGAGTGGCCCTGCGGGCAGGCGGGGTGGGGCGAGGCAGGGGGTGGAGCGGGGCCGGGGCCAGTTTTTGGGCACTCGGTCTCTAAAAGGTTCGCCATCACTGGTCTAAAGTAGTGCAACTGCAACGCTCTCTACATGGGGCTCCCCTTGAGGAGCACCCGGAGGCTCCAGCTAGTCCAAAATGCGGCCGCGCGGGCGGTGTTGGGAGGGACTCGTCGCTCCCATGTAACACCGCTGCTGCGCGAGCTGCATTGGCTGCCGGTGGCCTTCCGGGTGCGCTTCAAAGTGCTGACCATCATCTTTAAAGCGCTCCATGGCATCGGACCTGGATATCTTCGAGACCGCCTCGACGGCGTCTAATGGAGGGTAGCCGGACATGCGAGGGTGTCTCACCCAGAGGAGTCCCACGGCAGCCGGTCTGTCACGGCCGACCGCTGGGGTTCCCCCTCCCGGAAGAGACACCCTCGAGGGTGGGAGACCTTACAACTACCCCCAGAGATCAGGGTGATCCCTGATCTCCCTTCCTTCCGCCGCGCCCTTAAGACATTCCAGCTTGCAGGACTGGCCTAGGGGAAAAATTTTTAATGGGGGTTTTAAAGTAATTTTAAATTAATCAGACCAATTATTAATATTTGTTTTTAATTATGTTTTAATCTGTAGTTGGGATTTGCATTTTTATCTGGTTGTTAGCCGCCCTGAGTCCGCAAGGAGAAGGGCGGGATATAAATATAAAAAATAAATAAATAAATAAATAAATAAATAAATAAAGGTTTTGTTTGTTTGTTTGTTTGTTTTAAAAAAGCCTTCCTCTTCTGTTTATATTTAGTCCGCAGAGTTCTTGTCTTTAAAGCAATATAGGTGTGTGCCACTTGGGGGCACCATTTCCACAGGATTGAATAGATTGTCCAATGAGGTGATTTTGTCTCTTCTTTTCAACTTTTAGGGTGAAACAATGCAAAGACTATTATGAAATCCTGGGCGTCAGCAGGGACGCCTCTGATGAGGATCTGAAAAAGGCCTACCGGAAATTAGCTCTAAAATTTCATCCTGATAAAAATCATGCACCAGGTGCCACGGAAGCATTTAAAGGTAAAAAAATACCCCTTTTCTTTCAAGAAACGTATCTTTTACACCCTGAAAATGGTACCTTTTTAGTGACAGAAGTCCACCATAGGCGGCTGTTGTTGGTTTGTAATCATTAAAAAAGAAAGTGGAAAGAGTACAATAAATTGCCCTTTGCTATGTTAAATGCTCTTAAAAATCAAGTAAAAATTAAGTTGTAAAATAAATGTACACATGATTAACTTATTCACTTTATGCATTTGATACAGAGACCTCCCAATCGCTTTTTATAGCTGCTGCAAGAAAGGGTAGCCGTGGGATCTACGTAGCATATGAATGGGTGGGTGGTGTTTATTACAATCCCTAGTAATTTGGTGCATAAATAATTTAAATGAAGAGTTGGACTTATCTATAGGTGCTTAAAAGAAACATATACCCAACTGGTTAAAATTTTCAGTTCAGTTCAGGCTGGCACATGAAGACTGCAATCCGATACCCTCTCCTCCATGAGTAAGCTCCATCGCAATCGATATGTCTTCCTTCTAAAGAGATGACGAAGGACACCGTGTATGGCTACAGTCTTAGATGCATTTATATTTACAAGTATGGGATCCTGAATGTACTTGTCATAATGTGTCAATCAATCTGACTGTATCCTGATCCCATGGAATTTTTTTGCCTGAAAAGTTACACGTGAGATTTTAGTGCAAACTCCTTGATTTTGCTGTGGCAGTTAAGATTATGCCTAAATGTTAAAATGCTGAAATGATCCCTCTGTGATCTTTATACTTAATTAGTGCCATGGGTTGCAACTAGAAATTAGTAATTAAAATTAAAATTATATATATTAAAATAAATAAAATTGATGAACTCCGGGATATAAAATAGCCTTCTTTATTACTGAGCTTTCGTCAGCTAGCTGTTGACATCATCAGAGTAAGGGCTGAAGATTAGGAGAACCTATAAATACACTTGTATGACCGTTACAATGGTTGAAAAATAGAATGTACATATATGGCATGCTCATAACCCGCTCGCTCGCGGGATTTTTAAATCCCAGCCAAAGACCGGCTTTTAAATCAAAGCCGGAACCATTGAGACTAAATGCGAGCGAGCGGGTTGTGAGCATGCCATATGTACATTCTATATTTCGACCATTGTAACGGTCATACAAGTGTATGTATAGGTTCTCCTAATCTTCAGCCCTTACTCTGATGATGTCAACAGCTAGTTGACGAAAGCTCAGTAATAAAGAAGGCTGTTTTATATCCCAGAGTTCGTCAATTGTATTTATTTTAAAATATCTACACCTAGGATTCCAGTAGTGGTGAGTATATCCAACAGACCTTCCTCCTCCTATTTTCCCCACAACAACCAACAACATTATGCTGAAAGAGGGTGACTGGCCCAAACTCACCCAGCTGGCTCTCATGGCTAAAGCAGAACTTAAACTCAAGGTCTCCCACTTTCTAGCCTGGTGCCTTAACCATTAGACCAGGGGCCTTCAAACTTGGCCCTTTTATGACTTGTGGACTTCAACTCCTAGAATTCCTCAGCCAGCGTGCCTGGCTGAGGAATTCTGGGAATTGAAGTCCACAAGTCATAAAAGGGCCAAGTTTGAAGACCCCTGCATTAGACCAAAGTGGCCGTACTTTTTGAGCAATAATACTGAAGGGTTAATTGCAACCATGAAATTGCAAAGTTGTATCTGGATTTGGATCACAGCACTGGACGTGTGTATCTCCTTTCAGGTTTTAGACTTAGCTTCCAACTCTTAAGTTGGAATCAGATTAAAACTGCCCTTGTCTAGACATCCAAAGTATATCTAGCACAAAACTAACATTACACAGGTTTCTTCACTTGTAGACTTTATATTATTATGTTTATTGAAGGATTTTCCAAGATCCATATATCACAACTGTGATGCATGAACTAAATAACACTTTAGCCTCCTTTACTGGACCATCTTCCAGTTTATCTTTAGCTAAGCCTGTTTTATTCCTCTTGTTAATCTTTCAAGAGTTCAGTATTCTCTCTCTGGAAATGGCTTGGTTAATATTTCTCAGTCACTGAAGTCAGTTGATCCTTTACTTGTCCATTTTGCAGTGCCAGATGATAATGGTGTTATTTTAATGTTTAGACCTCGCTTAAATTAATCGTGCTTCTTAGTTTTGCAGGGCGCACCCGTGTAAGCCAAATTCTGTACGTACTGTAGATAGTTTCGACATGTTTTCAATAGCTGTATTGTTAATAAATAACAAGAATGTAAGGATGCACCTAGCTTTGATAAAATGGAAATATCATATTTTACATTTTTAGCACATTGTGTTTTGAAGTTTCAGGCTTCTGTTCCCTTTTAGAATTCCTTTCCAGTTAAACCATGGCCTTGATCACTGAGAGGAAAGCAAAATTAATAAGTCTTCCCACTCCATTGAAAACTATTAGACCAAACATGAGATGAGTATGCATTGAATGTAGCCATATTTCTTAAAGATAGGTTTGTTCTTTTTTTATTAAATATTACATAGAATTTCTTTCACACAGGTTCTTAATCCCTGGCATTTTTCATGTTGACTGTTTTTAACTTTTGCGGTTATAACCTATTGCAAATTTATTCCTCTTCTAGTTAACGCTTTTTTTTTGTAATGCTATGAGACTGTCAGTATTATGTTATTGTATTTTAGCAATATTGTGCTTAATCATGAAAGCATAAGTCTGAACATCTGATAGTTACGGATGGGAACTGAAGTCGACAGTTTTGTATGAATGGGAGAACTAATTTGAGGAATAAAAATATTAAATATAGGGGGAAAGAAATATAATTTATATTAGCAATGAACCTGAAACCAAAGCAAACAACAACAACATGATTATAGAGACAAATGTTTCCAAAATAATAGTAATGTTGATGGTAGTTTCTGTGTCTCAGGTAATTAAAGATATTTTATTCACCCTGAGTTCATTTCTGTTGCATCACAGTTCTTGCCATTTATTTTATTCCGCAGCCGTTTTCATTTGCATTTCTAGTTATTCCAAGATGAAGATATTTCCTAGAATATTTTTTTCCCAAGGAAGAATATTCACTTCATTAAATAAATCATAGTGATGTAACCAAACTGAAAGGTCAGTAGAAAAGGAAGGAAGAGAAAGTAAGAATCAAAAAGGAGCTATAATGAAATGTAACGGATTAGTGTGAATCTTCATTAATTGCACTTAAATCTCATTGAAATCAGTGTGAAGAGTTCCTCCCCCATATATTTCTTACTTAATTCCCAAGAATTGGTCTAGTCTTAAGCTGTGTTTCATTTTGTTTCTGAGGAACAAGGAAGATTCACCAAAAGCCAACTCACTTGTGTAATAAGAAAAATCCAACACATGCTAAGATTCCACTTTTAACTAGTATTCATTTTGGAATACAGCTTTGTATAATGCATAAGTTATTGGCAGGACCACTACAGAGAACACGTCTCTCAGTTGTCTGGACCTCAACTTTAATAGTATGCCCAGTGGCAAAGTCTTGTGAGAAGGTTTCAGACCTTCCAATCCATAGTTGCAGTCTGAAAATAATTGGAAACTGCTCATAATCTGCAGTAATGTTAAACAACCTAAGAGCAGCAATACTGTGCACTGCTAATCACCTGATAAATGTGATGGTCACGTGACAAAATGAACATACGAATACAGCTCCAGAAAGTAGCCAGAAGATCCAGTCTTTGAACCAGCGGATGCAGTTTTTCTCTCCTTTACATTTCCCTTGGAAATATCTTTTATTGAACAAGCTGAAGTGAGTTTCAGAAAAAGGACGAGATGTGGTTATCATTATTTGTTATTCAAATGGTTTCCTAGATCAGGGCTTTTCAACCTTTTCACCTATTGTACCACTTTTAGGATATGGCAATATCCGAGTACCACCAGTCGCCTAGCAAGGTGTCAAAAACTTGATGACCCCCCCCAAAAGGAAAAAAGTGATGAAGTACAGGTAGTCCTCAACTTACAACAGTTCGCTTAGTGACTGTTCGAAGTTACAATGGCACTGAAAAAGTGCCCCCCAAGCCACAGCCGAGCAAGACACCTGCTTGCCCACCCGGCGGTGCTCTTCCTCCTGTCCGAGGTTTTCATTGTTATGAGCATTTCTGTTGAGGATTGGCAGCGGGGTGGGGTGGGGGGGGTGTTTGGTTTTTATTCCCCCCATCTGCTGGGTGGTTGCAGCAGGTTTTGGTCACTTCACATGACCCTGAGACACTGTGACCGTCATAAATATGAATCAGTTGCCAAGCATCTGAATGTAAATCACAAGACCTTGGAGGGGCTGCAACATTCCAGCTGATCGGGGTTCTTCTGGGCTCAGAAGAAGCATCAGGATCAGCGCCGAGCTCCAGCTGGAGCCTGGCGCTGATCCTGGCGCTTCCACTGAGCCCTGACAGTCCCGAAGAAGCACTGATCCTGGCGCTTCCTCTGAGCCCTGACAGCCCTGCAGCTCCAGCCATCTCTTGCTCAGGCTTGTGCGGTGCTGCCACCGGTTCAGCTCATTCCCCTCCCTCACTACCACTTTTCTAGGATGGTCGTGTACCACCTGCCAGGTGCCAATGTACCACAGGTGGTACCTGTACCACTGGTTGAAAAGCCCTGTCCTAGATTCTCAAGATACGTAATATAAATTTATTAGTAATCTTTCGTCTGGGATAGCTTGCATGAACGTCTTCAGAATGCGAGAGGCCACAGGCTGAAAGAGATGAGGTTAGGAGTGATGGATTTGAACGGAAGATGGAAGACGCTGGACATTTCCTGATTTGTTCCCTCGTAATCACTGTTACCACATTCGCTGTTGTCAATGAATATGACTGTTTTCCTTCTTTCGTACATTTCAGCCATTGGGAATGCGTATGCAGTCCTGAGCAATCCAGAGAAAAGGAAGCAGTATGATCAGTTTGGAGATGCCAAAGTCAGCTCGACGCGACATGGTCATACAGATTTCAACCGAGGCTTTGAGGCAGATATTTCCCCGGAAGATCTCTTCAATATGTTTTTTGGTGGTGGTTTCCCCTCTAGTAAGTTGTGAATTTTATGTGTCTGGCTGGCAAAGGGTAGGCTCTAAAGAAAAGGGGATACCTCTGAGTTGGCTTTTCTCCTGCTTTCCTGGAGGAGGGAATCCAAAAATGAAAGTGTGACTCGGAGAAGGCAAGATTACCATTTGTCACGCCAGAGGAAACAGTGCTGATTGAAAGGCCTAGGCCAGGGGTAGGCAACCTTGGCTCTTTTATGACTCGTGGACTTCAACTCCCAGAATTCCTGAGCCTAGGCCAGCCTTTCTTGACAAGGCAGTCTTTGAAACCTCCTTAAAATTACAATGGAAATTCGACAATGTATTTAACAAAGAAATATACATGTGTCCTGTCATCCACCACTAACTGGCTCATGGGGCTATCCAGCTGGACGTGATGGGAGTTGCAACCAGGCCCCTCCGAAAGATCGCCCATGTGGGGGATGTTGATCTAGGTCTACAATGCTATGAAAGTTTCTAATAGGTTTGACGTGCTGGGCAGATAACAATATTGTTAGAAAAAGGGTTATCGGAGATAGAATCTGCTGAGACTGTGGGTCAGGTTGCATGACATTTGGAAAAGAGAGGTATTTTAAAGTTATTTCCTGTTCCTCGGGCCCAGCCATTGAGCATGTAACCTGATCTAAGTGTCTTCAGGCTAGTGGTGGTACTGTTGCATAGTTACCCGTTGTAGCTGAGAATGAAGCTATAGACAGGAAAGGACTCCTGTTGGGTGATTTCTGTGCCTTGCTATGGAGAAGGAATGTTCCATTCCTCACTATTAAAGGATCAGTTGAGAAAAGCAAAGCTTTTGCTGACTTTCTATCTTGAGCTCTTGATCTTTAAGACAGGCACGCAGAGATAGCTTTCGTCTAATCTCGCCTCTAAGAGGATGGGTGATCACCTTTCTGGAGATCCAGAAGTCGTTTTTTCTTTGGGTAAAATTGGCTAGAACACTGGTTTGGGTGGTTGAGTCCAGTTGAGGTTGCCTTGTAGCAGGTAGCGTAGCGTGCTTGTTTGCTTGGGTTGTTTGGAACAATTTGCTAATGCTTTTGATGGCAACCGAATGGAAATAATAGAAGAAAAAAAAACTCAGAAGTCTTTGCACACTTTACCACGATGTGGAATCTAAGCCAGGATACAGATGTCCCATGTTGATGTTGGTAAACAACTCTTACGTTTTGTACTCAGGATTTGAGCTTTTATCAACAGTGTTGCAGAGACGTTCCACTCAGTCAAGTGGTATACAACAATGATTTTCCAATTCCCCCCCCCTCCCCAAATCATAATATTAATCCACAAAGAAATAAATACTTGTTGAACAGCAGTGTAGATTTATGTTCAATATCCCAAGTATCGACAAACGTGCATTTTGTGAGTTCCACTCCCTTTGGGCATTTTTATAATCGGAATTGCTGGCAACTCATGAATTGCACGTGTCCGTGAGCTGCTGGCTGTGTGCTGATTCCAGCTTCGGAATCACCTTGAAAACTAAGCCCAGCGTCCAGATAATATTCTTTGACTTTCCGTTTTCCAGCTTTATGGCCATTTAACCTATTGATAACTTTTTGCGGGCTTCCACTTGCAAGCCCAGCAGAGTTGATAGGCTCCCTCCTAAACATTTATAGCAGGGAGTAGTCAACCTTGGCTCTTTTATGACTCGTGGACTTCAACTCCCAGAATTCCTGAGCCAGCTAAGCTGGCTCAGGAATTCTGGGAATTGAAGTCCACGAGTCATAAAAGAGCCAAGGTTGACTACCCCTGATTTATAGTTTGCACGGCATGCCTTAGCTTGGCTGTTGAAAGCACTGAGTGTCTATTAAAACGTGAGCGCTTCTATTGTGAGAGATTCATAGATAGATTACTGAGTGGACCAGATTGCTAACGGAGTAGAAGGAATTTCCAGGAGGAGCAGGCTTGTCCCAACTTAACCAATTAAAACTTTGTTTCATCAAGTTCTGTCTGGCTTGTTGGTGTTGGTCAAGGAGGAGAGATGGAGATCATGGCCCAAGTGATGGGAAATGGAAGGGAGCATCAGCAACTAAGAGAACAGAAAAAGGAATAAAACACAGCAACTCAGTCTGCGGGTTTTCAATGCATGAGGAAGGGGTTCTCCTGAGAGGCTGGGGGGCATACTTACCTAAGTCTCCCTGGCAGGCTCCACCTTTAATAGAGAGCCCAATGGAAGAAGACGCTGCGATTACAACATCTCGGTCCGCAACAGAAAGCCTCCGAGAGTGGTGGAGCCTACCTGGAGAGAACGCCAGGGAGAATCGCGTGAGATTAACTTCCTCTCGGAATCAGCACTCTTTAGCCAAGGAGTTGGGGACCCAGAGCAGCCATCTGGGGCCACTTGTCTTAACAGCCAGATGGTGGAGCAGGTGGTGGGGAGAGAGAGAGAGAGAGTGGGGAAAGGGCTATAAAAGTCACTGGACTTCACGACTTTTACCACCACTTTATTCCCTGAACAAAAGGCTTACAACTGACACCAAGAGCCTTCCTGGAGAACGGGAAATAGAGTCAAACAACACTGAGGCTACTACTTTAATCTCAGTGATTGGAATTTGGCTTCTGTGCTTCGTGGCCAGGAACGGCGTGCTCAGCATTTTATAAAGCCAGTGTCCAAATTAGCTCACCCCCTCCCAAAAAAAGAACCCAGTCTGCTTTTGTTACCATTATAGTTACCATTCTTCCATTCAATTATCACCTTCTAAGCTGTCTTTCCTCAACTTTGCAGCTACAACATCCACAATTCACAGACAATATACTAAACTGGATTGTGTTCAGTTGAAAGCACCCAGTTAAAGAGGGACAATTAAGAGCTTCTCTCTATGATATTTGGTGGATGGTCTTCAACCATTCTTAAAAAGTCTCTTTTCTCTCATAGGTAATGTACATGTATATAGCAACGGCAGGATGCGATATACCTACCACCAGCGGCAAGACCGACGAGAACATCAAGGCGATGTAAGTTGAAGCAAGGCAGAGGAAGAAATTAAAATGTTTCAGAACATGCACAGATCTGTTCCAGTCAAATGGTATTTTGCTATATTGTTTATGCCCATATGGGTCTGTTCATTGTTTCCTTTGCTAATCCAAAAGTGCAGGAGGGTGCTAGGTTTTTGGTTTTTAGTTAACTGTGGTTTTCAGAAAGGCAGTTTTCATTGCTATTTATGTGTAGGAGTACGATTCCTGCCTAATGCCAAAGTAACAGCATTATTGTGCTTTGTAATGCATTGTGCTGACTGTCTTTGAAAATGTGTTTTTTTTCACCAGTACATTTGGTGCCCATCAGTTGCCTATGGAAATCTGCAAACAGAAAAGTAAAGAGTCATGCCTTTCAACTAATCTTCCTTAGCACCTAATATTCAGGAACAATCTGCCTCTGATACTGGAGTTAGCATGGAGTCATTCTGATTGCTATCTGTTATCGGACTCATCGTCCAGAAAATAAAAGCTATGAAGCAGAATGTCATTTGTTCAGTGTTGGCCTCTACCACAGACTCTCTAGTAGAGTCATTAGGCAAGGATTGACTCCCACCCTCCTAGTCATACCCATTCATAAAATAAGCCAAATGTCATGGGTGGAACCCAGGGCTGCATTTCTATCAGAAGATTGTTCATTAGAGGATATGTCTAGTCCACTCACAGATCATCCAGTTTTTCTCCTGGAGTGGCCCGATCCAGATAGGGTAGGGATATTTTATTTCCAGAAGTTAATCTTCTAGAACAGGGGTGTCAAACTGCCGGCCTGCAGGCCGGTTGCATCATGTGGAGGCCATGCCCACCCCAGCTCCAGCAATGCGAAAGAAGTTGATGCGTGACGCGGCGAGTTTGACACCCATGTTCTAGAACAAAGAATGGAACATGTAGAAACAAGACGAGGAAGTAGGGAGCCAGTTAGGTCTAATGCAGGGGTAGGCAACCTCGGCTCTTTTATGACTCATGGACTTCAACTCCCAGAATTCCTGAGTCAGCTATGCTTTTATGACTTTTATGAGTCATAAAAGAGCCGAGGTTGCCTACCCCTGGTCTAATGGTTAAGGCACCAGGCTAGGGGAAAAAAAAGACGGGGAATTCTAGGCCCACCTTAGTCATGAAAGCCAGCTGAGTGACCTTGGGCCAGTCATTCTCTCTCAGTCCAACTCACCTCACAGAGGACTTGTTGTGAGAAAAATAGGAGGGAGGTGTGTTGGGTATGCTTGCCACCTTGTTTGTAAAAAATAATAAAAGGATACAAATAAATAAATACATAAAGCGGGACTAATCTGAAGTCCCTTGCACTTCCTTCCGGTTTTTTTTTCCAGAGGATTTAATTTCTCTCTGGAACAGATTTCAGGGAAGACCAAAGGCTGTAGCGGGTAAGTGTTACAGTACTTTAGGTTGTGCTCAGTTCTTCATAGGATTGTTTAGAAAGCTTCTGGGTTCAACAATATGCTTGGCCATAATATAAGTTTTATTTTGGTTTACCAGATTGTGTGGACCCAACCAACTGTAGCTTATTCAACAAATCATGGTAAAATCATGCCGTGGCTTAGTCTGTAATACAGACACAGCCAGTACAGGCAAAACACTTCAAGCATTTGTTGAATTGGCATGAAACCATAGAGCCTTTCAGAAACTGGTCTTCATACACCTTGCTAAGCCATGGTTTGACTAACCACGTAGTATTGACTAAATCAAATGTGACCAAATTCACATGGCATCTAAAAGCCATAAGTAAAAAAAAACACATTGTGAGCTACCGGGGGAAAAAAATCAAAAATCAAGATTTGAACCACAGTTGTCAAAGATAAATGGTTTGGGGGGATGCAAATGATTGATATTTTCAATTCTTTCTCCCCAGGGTGGCCTTGGGCTCTTTGTCCAGCTGATGCCTATCCTCATTCTCATCATTGTGTCTGCCCTCAGCCAGATGATGGTCTCCAGCCCACCTTACAGTTTGAGTCACAGGCCGTTAGTGACCATTATTCTTGTCCCTATAGTTAACCTGGGTAGTAGGATTTTGGAAAAGACTTAAGAACAAAGCTGATATTTACCAGTGTTTGGTGTTCTTTGGTGTGTTTTTTCCCCATCTCTCTTTGTTTCTCTTGGTTTCACGCCATGCCTGCTGGGATAAGATTGCTTAAAGTGTTTACGTGGTAAACATTTACATGTAAATTATAGGACTTCACAATCTATGGGAGTAGGACTCACTTAGTTGAAACCTGACCCAGCCTATCGTCTCTCATAAAGGGTACTATTTCACAAAGAAGCATTTTTGCATCATCTGAAATCCTCCACAGATTGACTGTGAAGATACATGATATTGACCATGTAATTAGATGGATGCCTTTTGGCTGCCATTTTCTGGGTCAGGAAAGCCTTAGTGTGCAATTTTTCTAGCAACTCTAAATGCTAACAATGACAGAAGCAGAGGATATAAGATAGAGTACATTGAGTATGTGCCCTACCTTACAAGGTAGGATTATAGCCCTGGAGTTTCCATATATGTCAGAAAAAGCACCTCCCTGAATTCTAGGAAGGTTCCTACCAATCAGTATTCAGGATACCAGGAAGGATGGGCCCTATTCATGAAAATTGTCCCAAAAGGAAAGTAGAAAAGAAAGAATCTTTTGTAAGAACGAGCTGTCCCCTTATTATACAGTATGAAGGTCTTTAGGTGATTTTTAAGTCTGGCAGAAGTCTGGCTGTTGTTGTGCAGTTGTCAGTTTTATTGATGGATTGACATGCAGGATTGACGAAGGTAAGGCGGGACATATTGCCTACAAAAAAGTACTTCTTATTCTGTGAAGACAAGATTTTTGGATATTAAGGCTGTGGGTGCTTTTCCTTCTTTCCACACTGTCATTGTTCAGTGATGAGTTGGAAGCTGGAATCTGATTTCTGTCTGGGTCCTTCTCCATTCTGGCATTGAATCAGCCAGAAGGAAAAGAAACGCGGGCACTCAGGTCACAACTAATAGACATAAAGTAATATATTGTATAACTCTTGTATGTTGTGTTGCACATTAGGATGCCACCCCGCTTAGCTACGTTTTAGGAAATGTTGACTGCACAAAAATTCTGTTCTTTAAGGAGGTGGTTAGGTGGGAGTTTCCCATATGAGGTGCCATTTTAAGGTGATTTTTTTTTTAAAAAAAAGATAAACTATACATTCAAATTGGCATTTTTAAACCGTCAAGTTTGACATCCTTACGCTAGTTGTTCAAATTGAAATAGCACATTTTTATGATAAAATACTTGTTTTTGAACCAAACTGATATAGTCATCTTTTAGTTTGGAGTTCAGATTTCATAAGTGCTGCATTTCTTAAATATCTGATTCCAAAGCTGAACTCAGATCTCAAAGCACTGGCTCAACAAATCGGCTTTGGAATTCAGCATTTAAGAAATGCAGAATTTATGAATGCAATCTCCCAAACTGGAAGCTGACTATCCCAATCAACTTTGTCCCAAAATCCATAAAAAGAAATATTTCGCCGGAAAGATGTGCATTTTCAATTTTAAAATCTGAACACCTGGAATAAAGGATTTTAAAACTTGAACATTTTTAAAATGCAGTTTTTAAAAAACTATGTGTTGCATTGTCACTCTTTGAAGCTTCTCTAGCTATTCATGGCAACATCTTGCTGTGATCTTCCATAGATTTTTATCAGCTGATGGCATGACTGTATAGGCCCTTGTGCAAGACTGCAGATTTGATAAAAGCTCTTGGTAGCTTTCCATGTCATACTCTGGAAGAAACCAGGGTATTTCTCTATGTCTTTAGGTACAGAAGTCCTCTTGTTCCTGAAACTCATGAGGGAACTTTTCCTTTTTTCAATCTACATCTCCTTCCTCAGTAGTTTGCTTGCTTGATAATTTATGATTAGTCTTAGGACCATAATGGGAAAAAGTAAATGTAGGATCTAGTTGTAGGATAAAATAGACAGTAGAAAATACAGTAATAAAATACAGACATGGTAAGAACAGACATTCAGATAAATATATCACCTTTACAGGATATAATGAGTTCTTAGCTCAATAACCCTAAACTTGGCAGATCTGCTCACAATATATACGTTAGCGCCCAGGTGGGAATAAGACAATCTTGAGGTCCAGATCCCAGTGGGCTGTTCTTCCAAGTAGGGCTGTTAAGTACCTAAGCCAGTGTTTCTCAACCTTGACAATTTTAAGGCATGTGGACTTCAACTCCCAGAATTCCACAGCCAGCATTGCTGGCTGTGGAATTCTGGGAGTTGAAGTCCACATGCCTTAAAATTGTCAAGGTTGAGAAACACTGACCTAAGCCAGAGGGGCATGTCAGTCAAGCAAAAACATGAGCAATCTCATGTACTGTATGTAATAACAATGTATATAACGACTGGGGCACTGCATGCGCACATTCTCTCATGATATGGCAGGTGATAGAAGTGTCCACGTTTGGCCATGGTATTCAAATCTTGCTCTAGAATAGTCCTTGAGAATTGTGTCAAAACTCATCGATAGGTATTTTTCGTATGGAAAAAGAATTTTCTTCTTAGCCAACCTTTTTTGTTTTTCTTTGCCAATAACTCCATTTTGTTTTGCACACTGGTATCTGGGACTCTGTATTTAAACATTTCCAGTAAAGAAGTATATGTGTAGCTCATGGTTGAAATGAGGGGTCCTTGGTGCTCTCTTGAGCTTGGTTGGGTTTTTTTTGCAGACATTTCATTACCCAAACTAGGTGACATCATCAATGCTGATGATGTTACCTAGTTTGGATAATGAAACGTCTGCAAGAAAGCAACCAGGTGACCTCCCCATCACAAAATCTATTGACCGCACGAAGCCCTTATACACAGAGGAATACTGACATCCTCTAACCTCCACTGAAGATGTTACCTAGCCTGGTAACGAAACGTTCAGAAACCAACCCACAAGTTTGGAGAATGAACCTACACCCGGGCTACAGATATTCGCCACCATCCCAAAACCACCAAGCTCAGAGAGCACCAAGGACCCCTCGTTCAAAATTTCCCTTGCCTGGCAGACAGTTGAGAGTAAATATTGGGTGTGAAATAACGTTAATAAATCACAGAATTGGGCTGAGCCATACTTCTCTGATCTGCCATACATATTTGGGATAGCCCAGGGGTTGGCAACCTTGGCTCTTTTATGACTCGTGGACTTCAACTCCCAGAATTCCTGAGCCAGCATGGCTCAGCTTGGAAACCTCTCCCTTTCCCCTCAGCATGGCTGGCTCAGGAATTCTGGGAGTTGAAGTCCACGAGTCGTAAAAGAGCCAAGGTTGCCTATCCCTGGGATAGCCTACCCCTGGGATAGCCTATCAGGATCCATTGATTAGATTCTCTGTCAGCATGTGAAAACTTTATTATTGTCTATGCTTGGAGTAGATGGATACCTGTTTCTGCTCTGGTCCCATGGGATGATGTGTTTGTATCAGTTCCCAGTATGCTTCCTTTTTTTTTTTTAAATGAGTCTAAACTTGTTGAAGTGGGGTGACTTTTGTAAAGCCCCCACATCTTTCCCCAGTAGAGACTTGAAAGGGAAACCAAATGGATCGAGGGCACTGGCTCATCGCAAGCAAATCAGCAGAATCAACCAAATGGCAAACGTTTTGGCAGCAATTGCATCCAGCTGCCTGAGCCAACTGAATATACAGTATTATAAATGCATTGCACCAACCATTTGTCGCTAGAATATAGCAGATAATAGACCAATGTATATGGGTAGCCAGGAGGGGGCAATGCTGCCTTATCAGTTCTCTCTTTGAAGCAGGCAAGGCTGTTAGGAGAACCTGATTTTGTCAGCTGTCTTGGAGCAGGAAAATGTAATGCTGCTAAAAAGGCTGGAATTCAGCCATTAAGTGGTAGATTTAATCCCTGTTTAGATTATCACTCAGGTAAACAAGCCTGTCAGATGGAAAAAAGATTTGTCTCCAATTCACGTGCATAATGCTTGACTGTATGTCTGTCTTGGGTTAAGAGGTCATCTTCTGACAAGGCCCAGGGCATTCAACTATTTCTTTCTGGATGGCATAAATGGGGGAGGTGGGGTATGAACATGTACACATAGGCAGCCAACCAGAGATTTAAATGTCTGTTGCAGAAGAAGAAGAAAAAAAATCCAGTTTCTAAAAATTTCACCATGTAGGAGATTCAGGAGAGTGATTTAAGGAGCAAATACATTTTTGTTTTATATAAAAATGTATGGATTCTTATCTTATTCAGGAGGAAGCAACAGTCATTTGTTTGAAACGGTGCTATCGCTGCAGGGTTGAGGATGAGGTATAAGGCTAGGTTAGATGGAATTCCTAAATTAGGCTATGAATCTGAGAACAATGGATTGCTGTCCGTTGTTAAAAGCCAAAAGCACTATTTCTTGGTAAAAATCTAAAAAGTAGACTTGCAAGAATTCCTCTCTCAGAAAAAGTACTCCAAATATCTTGAAATTAGACGTGATAAGAGTTAAAAAAAAAAACAGAACTAAGCCTAATGTAGAGTGATAGACATTTCTTCTGTAAAAACAAATATCTTTGCAACTTCTCGCTGAACCATAATCTTGACATTTTCCTGTAACAATGAGAGTCAGCACTTAACTCTCCTGAAATGGAGGGATTCTGTACTCAAGATACCGAGAACTGGATCTAGCTTTGCATAAAAACATGGCTTCTGATCTGAAACAAAGAGAATGAATAATTTGCATGGTGCAAACTGGGGGGGGGGGGCAATTAAGACAAAGCAATTAGTGATTTGCAACCCCTGATTAGATTATCATTTCTGTCCCAAGGGCTTATACGTAGCCTTGAATGCATTAAAACCGAAGTGTTTACTAAACATAGACGCACCTTTTAAGAGCAACTAATTTCTCATGTCAACTGCGGAGAAACTTGGGGGAAGGCCTGTAGACATTCTGTAACATGAGAACTACAGAATATTTTCAGTAAGAGTCCTCTCAGCAGATTACTTTAATCTAGCCCTGTAGCACGGAGAACGGGTTTCTTTTTTCTCTTTCCAAAATAATAAGGAGAGCTCGATCTTTTTTCAAGTTTGCACAAGCTTTTTCTTTCGGGCTCCCTGGCATAAGAGACAAAAGCGCCCCCCCTGTTGCTTCAGCCATAAGAAACCAATTGTATGTAACAGAAACATGTCTTCTAGTTCTGAGCATCTGCAGTAGGTTCATTCAGACCTTTCCTTACTGGTGACATGCTTCAGCTTGCAGACCGAAGGCCTAAATTGAAGATGGTTGCAGCAGGTCTCTGGGATGTCAGCAGTGGTCAAGGATATGGGAGAGCGGTGACAAAATGGGATTTTCAGGAAGAACCCATTGAGATAATGGAGAGATTGTTGAGGCAGTCCCCTTCCTCCATTCCAAATCACATTCGTTGTTGTTGTTAGTTAGACTCATCGCGACCCCATGGACAACGTTCCTCCAGGCCTTCCTGTCCTCTACCATCTTCTGGAGTCCATTTAAGCTCACGCCTACTGCTTCAGTGACTCCATCCAGCCACCTCATTCTCTGTCGTCCCCTTCTTCTATTGCCCTCAATCTTTCCCAGCATTAGGCTCTTCTCCAGTGAGTCCTTCCTTCTCATTAGGTGGCCAAAATATTTGAGTTTCNGCCTTGCAGTCCAGGGGACTCGCAGGAGTCTTCTCCAGCACCATAGTTCAAAGGCCTCAATTCTTTGTCGCTCAGCCTTTCTTATGGTCCAACTTTCACAGCCGTACATTGCAACTGGGAAAACCATGGCCTTGACTATACGCACTTTTGTTGGCAGGGTGATGTCTCTGCTTTTCAGTATGCTGTCTAGATTTGCCATAGCTTTCCTCCCCAGGAGCAAGCGTCTTTTAATTTCACATTCATTGTTCTCCTACAAAAGCTTATGTTCACTAATGTCCACTGTTAGGCTCATTCCATCCTCATTAAATTTGCCCTTCCCATTAAGGCAGTGTTTCTCAACCTTGACAATTTTAAGGCATGTGGACTTCAACTCCCAGAATTCCATAGCCAGCAATGCTGGCTGTGGAATTCTGGGAGTTGAAGTCCACATGCCTTAAAATTGTCAAGGTTGAGAAACACTGCATTAAGGGAAACAACATGTTCTTAAGCTTTACATTGTGTGGATAATCTACACCAGCCCAGTTTACGGATAATCTATCTTGGTTCTCCTTAAAGGGACTGACAACCGTTCTGTTCTTGCAGGAGCAGCATGGCAGAGGATAAAGGAGGATTTTGGTACCTGAGTTTGCTTTTGGGTGGGATCGGCTGGTATGGGGGGCTTTGGTCTCCTTATCGAAACAAATTTTCCTTGGTGTCTAGGTGTGCAATTTTGACCGTTGCTTTTGTCCTCCTTTGCTCCAGGTCTGTTGGCCATGTATTTAAACGAACGACTGAGCATTTGAAAGTGTCTTACTACGTAGGTGACAGCTTTGCGGAAGAATACACAGGCACAAATCTTAAAAATGTAGAGAGGAGCGTGGAAGACGATTATATTGCAAACCTCAGAAATAACTGTTGGAAAGAAAAACAGCAGAGTGAGTAGCCCAGCTTTAAGACATGATTAGACAAAGAGAGAGGCAGGGTCAAGGCATTGCAAACTGCATTTCAAGAAATTCTGTATTATCACTTGCTTATTTATTGTGTTTATGTTCCATTCCTGTAAATTGGGCCTCACAAAGTTGTTGGAAAGGGGTTATTGATAGTTAAAATGAAGCCACTTTTACAAATGAGATCTGCCTTTGACAATTTAGCTGTTGCAGTGCAAGCGTTATTTATGTGGGCACACATGTGCGAACAGATCCTGCTTTATGCAGCCCTATTGATCATTATGATGTGCCCTAATTTTATTGTCCTGTTTCCCCGAACTTAAGAGTTTAAAATATCCAAATGGCACAACAGTTCCCAAACTTTCCATCTTCGCACTCACCTCCTTCTGAAATTCTTCTTAAGCTATACTGTAATTACAACATCTGGAGCAGGGTTAAAGCAGTGGATAAATATTTTTCGCAGCTCCCTGCTCAAGATGGGATGTGACAAAACGAGGGAACCGTGTAGTCTCTCCGGTGAAATCCACAAAGTATATCAGAAATGCAGTACAAACTAAAGAGAAAAGTTGCAGCTGTCTGGACTGTTAACGTTAATTATTTGGATTTCTTCTTTTACAGAGGAAGGCTTACTTTACCGGGCACGTTATTTTGGTGATTCAGATCTATATCAGAGAGCACAAAAGATGGGCACACCCAGTTGTACCAGACTGTCTGAAGTTCAAGCATCAATGCATGGATAGCTGTTGCAGAAACAGTCCATAGAGACCTAAGTAAGAGCTGGTCGTTTCTATTTCTGGAAACGGGGGGTTTGGTTTAGGAATACTAATTTTCCAGCATAATTTAGAATCCAAAGCTATTTTCATGTTTTATGCTACATCGTGGTTAGTTTTGGCAGAGTTAGCCAAACAAGCAAGTGTTAGTCTTGCAGACAAACAAACAAAAAAAGATACCTCTATGGTATCTTAGATCATCCTCTCCATTCTTAGCAGTATTTCCTTTCCATCTCTCTGAATTAGTTTCATGTTTGGTTTGGGTACAAAACAAACTGGGAATAAACAAAATGCTCCTATTTACATGCCACGCTAAGCCATAGATGTAGTTTGAAAGCCAACATAAATCATGGTTTCAGTGGTTTATTGCCTAAACCCATTTTTTATTCGCTGACCCCATTTACCTTTTATGTCAGTGTTTCTCAACCTTGACAATTTTAAGGCATGTGGACTTCAACTTCCAGAATTCCACAGCCAGCAATGCTGGCTGTGGAATTCTGGGAGTTGAAGTCCACATGCCTTAAAATTTGTCAAGGTTGAGAAACACTGTTTTATGTTAAGATAAAAAAAAATATCAAATTGCGTAACAACCAACGCAAAGTGTGACTTCCTAAATGCTCACTGGTTCCTCTTGATGCTCATGTGCTCTTGATCATCATCCCTTTGCCAGGACTTATAGCTTAAGTTAAATAGTTGCACTTTTCCTATTCTCAGCAGTGCCTCTGGTTGGTGGGTGGTTGTCAAATGGGCAAGATGGCAGATGGAGTGTTGCAGTGCAAGGCCCACCCCTTTCCTGCATGCACTGTTCACACAGATAAAAGTGGCAGAACTCGCTTTGTGATGCTTTGTCTGCCATCTTGCCGATTTTGAGTGGCCTCCCCCTCTCTGCAAACATTACTGGGTGTCCCTTCTGTTTCTCAGAGCATTGTTAATTTGGGTGCCGAAATAATTACTGGGTAGCTGATGGGCCCGTTGCACAATGACTGGTGGTGAACATCTTTTTAGAAGCACTCGCTGATAAGCTTTGGAGCATCAGTGGCTTCAGCTAAAAGTAGAATGTCAAGAATCAAATGGACAGCCAGCCCTGGATTGTTGCAATAGTGTTAAAATACGGCATACTTTTGCGAACTCCGTTTCAAAGGTGGCTTAAAGGATTCTGCGATTCTTCACAATTATTTAAGCAATCAAATCACTTCCCCCGCATATGTGCTTAGCCAGCTTGCTTTACTCTTCAAAGTCAAAACCAATTTTATCATAATATCACAGTATTTGACATTTGGAAGATGACACTATAGTTCAGTGGTGGCGAACCTATGGCACGGGTGCCAGAGGTGGCACTCGGAGCCCTCCCTGTGGGCACACATGTCGTTGCCTCAGCCTTGCCTCCCCCCGTGACCCCCTCCTCTCCAGCAGCCCCCCTGAAGGAGAGTCGCCCTCGAGTGTGCCCCACACGGAGTAGTGCAGCCAAGGACATGGTAGCCAGGCAACATAGACAAGACTCTGCCCTCACACCCCATCATGCAGTTGATGCTGCAGGGCGCGGGCAGAGGGTGTGGCCGCCATAGCACTGCTGGACAATCGGTGGGCCCTGGAGGCGGTGAGTGGTTCTGTGGGCAGGCGGGGTGGAGGGATGGGGGGCGGAGCGGGGGTGGGGCAGGGGGGTGGAGCGGGGGCGGGGCCAGGTTTTGGGCACTCAGTCTCTAAAAGGTTCGCCATCACTGCTATAGTTCATTTTAAAAGTTAGTATTAATACATGAATTTACCATGCCATTACAACTTGTAGAAAAGAGATTCAGCAGGGCCTGATGGACCTACCACAAAAATGTAGCATTGGGTGTAGTTTCCTTTGGATTGCAAAGAATCACAATGATTTGTCCCTTTCACAGTGAGAATGTATTAGAGATAATGATACTTGGCCATAGAAAGTAAGCATTGAAATAATACTAAACAGCTTCGAAGATATGAGTACATCTGCTTCATTTAGCCCTAGTTAAATGCCTTTAAAGAAAATAAAAAACTTGTGGAAGATACGCAGCCACCGATTTAGGGTAATGATGCTTCTGTAGCTTTCCAGTTAGAATTGTTTATCACCTGAAGCTGTTGTCTTTGTCACCACCCTTCTTTGCTTGTTTATTGTGTTCCATTTTAAGATGGGTCAGTTCTCCTCAAAGCAACTCACAACATCCAAATTACATAATGAGCAGCAACTTTGGGATAGTTGCTTAACAAATCAGTACACATACCATCTTGCTAATGTGGATATTTCTAAAGTTGAAACAATCGACAAACGCTTCATATAGGGCCCAGTGATCAAAATATAAAAAATCATTTTAAGCACTGCCGAAATAATACATTGAAATCCAAGGTCAACTGATTTCTCCAGCAACAGTCTCTAAACCAAATTGACCTACGGTTCACACAAAGGAAGGCAACATAGTTTGTTTTTTTTGCCTCCCCGGTTGTGCGAACACTATGTCAGTTTGGTTTGCCACCATTTTATTACAAACATGCACACCGTTGAACTGTATTTTCTACCCCAGAAGCAATTATTTTTTTGGGGGGGAGGGGTTCCAGAAATTCGAATTCTGAATCTTAAGTTTTGAAAGCCTCAAATGGAAGTCTCTCTCTAGGATGTTAACCCCACTAGTTAATGGGATTGAGATGGTGGTTTAGGTGCACTTATGAGTTGTACTGCAGAGATAGCCTGCAAGATTTTAGGCAGCACGAGTGGCAGTTGTTCTTCTGGAATCTTCCAGGGCTCTGCCCTCCCTCCCTGCCAGCTAGAACTGAGCCAGATTGATGACCATTGATCAAGGGTAACCAGGCTAAAAACTAACTAATCTTTACTCGCACAACTTTTTGTTCTTTTTCGTCCTATGGCATGTGTTTTATTTTGAGTGAGAAAATGGCACAGGAAGAGTTAGGATGCAACTGGGATGTGTTCGACATAATGGTCTTCCATGCTAAACACACACACACTCACGCACGCCCCCTTTTTTTCTGGAACAGGTTTGACTTGAATTTCAGGCAAACCATCCCAGCCATAACTAACCTTCCTTGGTGAGAAAAAATATTTTAGTCGTTTTGTTTTTTTTGAAATGTAGAGAGGCTTAACAGACTTCTATTTAAGGCACCCTAGATCAGTGGTGGCGAACCCATGGCACGCGTGCCAGAGGTGGCACTCAGAGCCTTCTCTGTTGGCATACACGCCACCGCCACTAGCAGCAGGTCCATCAGGCCGCCACTGCCGCCCGTAGCAGGAGCCCCACCCAGCACAAAGGAGGCAAAGCGGCCGATTAGCAAGCTCGAGTAGAGGTGATAGAGCAGAGGTCACCAACCATTGTTGATTGGTGGACTGGAATAAAAGGGAGGGGGAAGCATTTTACATGCGTGCATGCGCGCACGGGACTACAAGCACGCACGCGCTGCAAATGGGGCGGGGCTAGTGCTTGCGTGATACTCACTAGCCCTGCCCCGTTCTTGCGTGGTGCAGCGCCTTGTATCTGCACCCTGCAGTGTGGCGGCAGCCATTTTTGCGCCTTGCAGCACAGTGGTCCATTTTTGCGCCTCTGGTTTTTGCGTGCCAGAGACGGCACTCAGAGGCACCTCCTTGCCCCCCCCCCGAGGGCACCACAATGCTGATGCGGCCCTGGCACTTTGTGATAAAATAAGTTGGTTTGGGGTTGCAGTTTGGGCACTCGGTCTCTAAAAGGTTCTCCATCACTGCCCTAGATACCTGAGATTGCTACAGGCAAAGCACTGTGACTTTTTGTGTAAGACGTCTGTTCCTAAGAACAACGTTTTGAATGTTGATGTGTGTTTGAGGACAAAGGGACAAACATTTGAAGAACACCTGAGCAGCCTTCTACAGCAGCAGTTCTCAACCTATGGGTCGCGACCCCATTTGGGGTCGATCGACCATTTCACGGGGGTCGCCAAGCAAGGCTGTCCGCCATTTTTTTCCCCTTTTCTGGCGGGTGCCTTACCTCCCTTGAGCTGGGCCAGCTGGTGGTCGGCCTGCTCCGTCTATGCCGCTTGCCAGCTACGCCTCGGCTGGCGCAGGGGGCGGAACCATGCATGTGCGGCGCTCCCAGGCAGGGAAAGTCCTCGACTTACGACCGGTTGGGTAGTCCTCGACTTACGACCGGTTTAGTCCTCAACCTACGGCCGGTTTAGTCCTCGACTTACGACCGGTTTAGTCCTTGACTTACGACCGGTTGGGGGTCGTGGCATTAAAAAGGTTGAGAACCACTGTTCTACAGAGTATTTCGTCTTGCGCTTGTCTGCAGTGATATAGTCTTCATTGACCAGTGTTCCTTTTCAGGGGCACCCATAAAAGGGGAGCAAAATAGTCAAGATGGCAGTAATTCATACAACTGTGTGATTTGAAGCAGCTCCAGTTTTTAGATTAGATTAGATAACTTTTATTGTCAATTTTTTTCCTGTGAGCACAATGGCACACATTAAAAATGAAATTTTGTGGGCATTCATGGGGCCTGGCTTCAGACAGTGCAGTCGCAGCCATCTTGACCTTTTTTCTTTTTTTTAACCTTACCCTGCAGATACCCTGTTATGCATTTCATTTCAATGTTTAAAGACAAAAAGAAGAAGAAGTAATAATCAGCTTCTAAATTAACATTTCCAGCTAGGCCACTCTGTTCTCTAAAATGGAAGTGCCGGCCCTGTTACCCTTGTAATTGACTGGAGACTGATGCTTCTGCTGTTTTTCTCCTCAGACTCTTCAAATGCCTGAAGACTTTGGGGGAAGTGCACTGAGCCAAGAAGACAGACTTTCTATTTAAAGAATCAGTCCTTAAATTAAAATGGCATTGGAGTATTAACAACGCACAACTGCCCTCTCCTCTCCTTTCTCTGTCCAGCGTTAGACTTGAACATCTCGTGAGGAGGGAAAAGACGGCTGGTCTTTTTTTATTTCCCCCCCCCCTCTCTCCCTCTCCCATCCTCCAAAGGATCCCCTTCCCCTGGGAACAGTTGTCGAGTTGCTTTGGTTTCCTTTCCGAGATCTGCCGAAAATCAGGAGCAGTGGAGAAAGTTCTGCAATTGCACTAGTCACTTCAGAGAGCAAGGGAGAAACTGGAAGAGCTAGAAATTAAAACAAAATTAATTTTAAAAGACACTATTTAGAATTTAACTTACCATTGTAAATATGTTGTACTTCTAAACTGTGCAGGGATAGAATTAAATTATTTCGTTCTTTTTCTTTTTTTTTCTTTTTCTTGTTTCTTTTCTTTTCTTCTCTCTTTTTTTGCTGAACTTCATAATCCAGTATCTCTGAATTCTAGCTTCTTTTTTCCCTGCCTGGGCCCTCACTTCCTTTTTTTTTGGGCCCAATGTCCTGTTTTCTATCAATGGCAATCTTATCTGACAATACAAATGTTTTATATTTTATAATGGCTTGGACTTTCTTGGGGGGGGGGAGAAAGTAAATTCACAGACCCTGAAACTGTTTCCTTTTTTAAAATGTGAAATACTGAGCCCAATAGATATATTTTCTATGGACACATTCTGACCCAGTTTTGGATTTGCAATGTACGGCGGCTTTTGCTGAACGACTCGTTCTTCCTAATAAATGGAGAACAAATTGTCTCAAAACGATCTTCAGTTCACCAAGATGGCTTTTGCTGTGTGGACTTTTTTTTTTTTTTTTTTTTTAGGTTTTGCAGACTTTTCACTTTTGGCCTTGCAATCAGGGTTCGTTCTGCTACCCAGAGGCGTGCTATTGTTTTTTCCCCAAGGCATGTCTCCTTCTGTCTTTTTCCCCTGCTTCCCCATCAGATTTCCTGTTGCTCTACAAAATAGTATTTCTTTGACAAAATGTTGCCGCTGATTTCATTCCAGGAACCTGCTATGCGCTGGCGTGGCCTACCAAGCAGTGATGCAGTTATGTACTTTTCCATTTGGTGCGACTTGGATGGCCCTTCTCTATAGAGCAGGGGTGTCCAACCTTGGCAACTGTAAGACTTGTGGCTGGGGAAGTCTGGGAGTTGAAGTCCCCAAGTCTTAAAAGTTGCCAAATGTGAGACCCCCTGCTCTAGAGCAATGAGAGGCTGTGCAGCAACACTGCTTGTAGATTCTGGTGAGAATCTTCCTCAGAGAACGGGACTCTTACGTCCTCAGGAGAGCAGGCCATCTTCGTCCAACAAGATTTTGCTACTTTCCATTCTTTAAGCAACTGAAAGAGGCAAAGAATAATTCTTATTACTTGACTGGGCTGTGAAGTCTAACTTTCATTTGAGGAAAAAAAAAAGCTACACAATGCCAGACTTTTTTTATCTTTTAAGTCCACACAATGCTGTCAGAAGAGCCTTAAGAGAAGTTACTTCAAAGAGCTGAGCCATTCACCAGAGTTAACAGTTAATGCTCCTAGTTCCAATAAGCCTCATCATCTTGAATTAGCAGTAATCTGAAGATGCTTCCACTCCTGCAAGAAGTTTTGCGTTTTCATTAGTCAAACAAGGATTCCTTTTGCAGGCATGGATCAACTCCTACCATCAAAGCAAATCAGTACTCGGGATCAGAGTAATATGTTCAGAAATGACTTAGTTATGTCAAGGAAGTAGCATTACCGTTAATTACTTCACACTGGAATCTTCTTTAAGTTGCTGTTAGTTTTGTCCAGAAAGTTTTATATTATTTAATTGGCAAATGTCCATCTAAAGACTTGTTCAGAATTGTTCAAGTACCAAATAAGAGCTGATGGATTAGGGATGGTCTAATAATTGTGTCATTTCTTTGGCATTGACAAATGGATGTTGATTTGAACAGGGTTTTTCCTGTCATAAGCGGCCATCTTGATGGATAGATCCGCTCCATTTGTCTGCAGTCCCAAGGAGATGCCTCCATCCTCCACTGTCCCCGGAGAGCAGATCGTGGCTCAAAACCTCAACCCTGTTGATTAGCATTCAGTGATCCCTCCAGCCATTTTGAAGGATCGCTTGTCCAGCTGCGCAGCACAAAATGACCAGCTTCTGAGATGGCAACAGGAGCCCCAGGCCATAACAATCAGATCTTTTTGATTTTCTTAAGTAGATAGCCGGGGATGAATGAGCAACGTGCAATAAAAAGCATAGGTCTTGAAAGATATTGAAGAAGGCTGTATTTCTTAATTATATAATTGTACATCTATAAATAAAGATTTATAACATGAAAGCTTGCCCCTAGTGTTTGTGTCGCCCTACATAAGCAAAGCAGAGTCGTTTCACCAAATGCCATGATGGGTTCATTCCAGCAGCTGCCCTTAAACTGAATTGGTGCTTATTTTTAGTAATGAATATATTTATGGGTTCCACAATAGACAAAGCGTATTTACAAGAATCCATAGAGATTTGGTGTTCTGCTGATCCAAATAACATAAGCCTTAGAAGCTCTTATTTGTGAAAAGCTGCTATGCTGTATACTGAAAGTGACTGTCAGATTACCTAATGAAGAATACTCTTTCTTCCCTGATACCATTTCAACCACAATATATCCTAATATTTTAGCATTCTTAATGATATCAAGAATCCAGAGATCCCAGAGGCAACAGATTGTAACTTTGCACATAGTTAGGGAGGTGATTCCCACCATAGAAGATTGCTCTCGTGCTTCCAACCAAGCAAATGGTTAATACTGCCATGGAATATAAATTAATATGGCAGAGGTGATGGAACCTACAAGCTATCTTTGGAGCTGATGATTGGCATTTCTTATTAGAAATTGTGTGGGGAGAAGCAGTGTTTATGCAGAGTGCCTCAAAGGGGATTCCAGAATGTATAAACAAGACTTTTAACCTTCTAAGGACAAAGTTAGGTGTATTAATTTTGGAGTATCTTGCTGGGATACAAAATTTTGGAGTATCTTCCTGGGATACCAAAGAGGTTGCTATCGGGTATGTTGACTGTTAAAACGTGCGCTCTCCCCAGGGTATGGATCCAGGATGTGATAAACAGATTATTGAGATTTGTCAAGTTGATTGGTCATGATTCATATTCACTAGATTGCATGGAAATGAGTAATATTCCAGGTGTTGTTATGAAAGTGTTTTGTCTGACTGAAACCCTGAAGAGGAAGGTGATGGACCTGGTAGGGGTGTTTGTGTGCATATAAATGATAAGAGGACTGTAAGGAGAGAATTCTAAAGCTAAATGATGGTTACATGAATGAGGATAGAAAAGGCTCATTTCTTGAACCACCAGCTAAGTTCACTGCTAGCTTTATTTGCTTTGAGAGCTTGTGAAAACATAAACAGCAGAGATGGGAATGCAAGAATCTATCCTCACCCTTAACCTCCCATCTCCACTCACACATATAAATACACCATGAAAAAAATGGGGCAAAATACTTTTGCCTAGGCCCCCTCTAGTGACATTACTGGAATATTTCCTGCAGCCGATTAGCCCATCAGGAAGATAGATTGCAGACTCCACCTGGAAGAAAACCCACCTTTTGTCAAAAGAGAAACTAAGGTGATGTGCAGATATCTAGAAATTTTCGAAGAAAATAATTGCGAGATATTGATACTCTGATGCAACACTGTTGGAAAGAAGATGAGCTGTAATCCCTGTTGGAAATTGACTATGATAGGAGTCACTGAAGCTTGATGGGATGATTCCCCAAATTGGAATGTAGCAGTGGAAGGACGTAACTACAAATAGTCCTCAAACTATGATCACAGTTGGGCCCTGAATTTTGTTCACTGAGTGATGTGGTTAAGCAAGTCATCGTTTGACCAGACTCAATTTTACGACCATTTTCACCATGGTCATTAAGCACATCTGGCTTCCCACTGACTTTCAGAAGCTAACTGAGAAGGTCGCCAATTTCAATTATGTGACCTCAGGGGTGGTGCAGCAGTCCTAACTTTGAGGACTGGTCATAAGTCAATTTTAGTGCCCTTATAACTTTAAACCATCATTAAGTGAAAGGTCGTAAGTTAAGGACTACCTGTAAATAGAACAAATACGGGAGAAGTAGCATTATATGTCACACATCGCCCCCTGCACAAAAATTCAAGCAACTGAACAGCAGCTGCGTGGGAAAATAAAACTAAGTGAAGAAAGAAAATCAGATGGCGATCTACTAAAGATTGGCGTTTTAAAGAGCAAAAGTGGATGATGTTTTTCTGAAGTTACATCCCTTACTGGAAAACAAAAACTAATAATAATAATAATGAGTTAAACTATCTGATATCTCTAAGTGGGTTTACCGTAAGTTACATTACAGTGAGCTTCACCTGAACGTAAAATGGAATATATTGATACTAACGATCCTTCACAATGCCATGAATGACCCACTGCAATAAGCCTGCTCTCTTTTGGGGGCTTTTAAGCAGATTTGTAGAGGTTGCTTGCCTATATTCTGAAATTCTGGCAGTGAAGTCAGAGATTAGCTTAAAGAGTTTACAACCCGCTGCCCACTTTTAGATTATATAGACATTCTGGACATTATCCTGAAACATTTTGTAGCACTTCATATAAATAGACTTCATGAATGATTTATGGGGAGGGTCTTACCTCTGTGCTATCCTCAAGTCCCATATGATGCAACGCAGGTAGTCTTCGACCTGAAACCACAACTGAGCCCAAAATTTACATTGGCTAAGCAAGACAGTTGTTAGGAGAGGTTTGCACCATTTTGCCACTTTTCTTGCCATAGTTGTTAAGTAAATCACTGTAGTTGTTAAGTTAGTAACAAGGGTTGTTAAGTGAATCTGGCTTCCTTGTCAGAAGCTCACATGACCCCAGGACACTGCGACCGTCATAAATATAGTCCGAATTTTGATCACATGACCATGGGGAAGCTGCAACAATCGTAAGTGTGAAAAAACAGTCATAAGTCTCTTTTTTCCAGTGCCACTGTAACTTTGAACGGTCACTAAACAAATAGTTGCAAGTCAAGGACTGTCTGTACAAAC